AACATTTCCTCTCCACTTAAGCCCCCGGCATTAGGTCCTCATTTTCCCCTTCCCTCCCCACTCCCCCGTAATTGGTAGATTTTGCTTGGGCATGCACATTTTAAAATTTATTTTCAGTATGTTTCAGGGGTAGGAAATTTATACTTCTCATCAATTTTTTTTGACCTGCATTTTTTTCAGTTTGGCTAAAGCACATCATCAATTTTTTTTGACCTGTATTTTTTAGTTTGGATAAGGCACATCTAAAAGCAATCACTCTAGTTAGTTGGTCTTGTGCAAATTAAACCTGGATGATTACATGCGTGACTAGTTTTAGTTAGATTAGTTGGATGTTTTGCTCTTGTAGAAACATGACTGGAGAAGCTCTGTTGGTGTAGGGCACATGCTGGGGCTCCGCAAGGTCAGCAGTTTGAAACTATCAGCTGCTCCAGGAAGAAAAACCACTCATTAACTTGATGGCAGTGAGTTTGGTTTTTAGTTATAGACATAATTGTAGCGTTGCGTGTGACTATCATATCATAAGTATCACTAACATATTTCTTCCTGATAAAACCGAAAGCTCATGGTGTTTTCCAATTTTTTAAAAATTTCATTAGATGAGTGAAACTATAAAATGTTCTGTAAAATATACTCTCAAATTCCATGAACCTGTCAGAGGTTCTTTTTATTATTTCTGGAGGGTTTTTGTTTTGTTTTAAATAGAAGCCTACCCATTATTGTAAGGGGCCCTGGTGATAGGGTAATTTAAGGGCTTAGCTGTGAACCAGAAGATTGGTAGTTCAAACCCACCCAGTGGCTCTATGGGAGAAAAACCCTGCCATCTGCTTCCTTGCGATATTACAACCAAGAAAACCCTCTGGCCTCTCCCATGAGGTGGCATCAGTCAGATCAGACTCCGTGGCCCCCAGGGACAGCGGCAAATGGCTTTAAAAACGGACAGTGATTCGGTATTGTCTGTGCCCGACTGTTTCTGTGTGGTCAACGTGGGACATGAATGCCGAGGCACTGGAGAGAGAGCTGGGTTTGCACTTCTAGGAGACAGAAAACCTGAACGTTATTATCTTGGGACTTATTTGGGCATGCATACCTTTTGTCCCCAAATACTTGAGGTTATTGAAGATTGAGGTTTCCAAATGATACCGAAAACTCTGGAGAGTTTTCTTCCCATGTAAGTCAAGAAACCGATATTCTGGCAAGTGACAGAAAGCAAATGTCAGTATTCTAGGCATTGTTGCAACAGTCAGACTAACGAGACGAAGGCTCCTCAACCCTTATAAAACGAAAGAAGATCTTTCTTTTCTTCCCTTTTCATATGATTCTTTCTACGCAGTACAGAAACTCACTAACTTTTAAAAAAGGCCTTCTTCCGAAAGTTAAAACGAAATTGGTTGTAGATTAAGGTTGTTGACTATAGAGAATGGCACCTAACTGTACTTTGCACTTTTTCGGGAGTAAATTCCTCCATTCACGCATCATGATTCGTGTATATTTCTCATAACCTCGTGCTTGGAGGGATGTAGGAAAAGTGGATCTGGGTCTGGATCTTTCACCCAGGATCTGTGAGGTTCAGCAGCGTGGGGGAGAGTTCATGTGGGTTCCTTTAAGAGTTACTTAGAAAGAGCCACCCAGTATCATTGGCTTTTCTAATGTGAAATGGCCAGCCCTGGGACTCTATGGGACTGTCTTGTTGTTGTTTTTTTTTTGTCTCCCAAATTTTCCACCTTTGGGTGCCGTCCTACCACGTAGTCATCATTGTATGTCAACAGAGAACATTTCCGTTCCCTTCTGCCTTACTCAGGTTTCAGCGTCTGTGGGTTTTTGCTGAGATTTAATATTGTGGCAAGCTTTTGCTGTTGCCTGCGAAAATACAGCATGTATCTCTGTCAGCGCTTTGGTCGTCATCTGATGAAGTGTTCTGTATAAATTCCCCTGCTTTGAAAGTTCGAGCACATCTCCAGAGAAGGCTTTTGCATCTTTACAGATTGGGATGCTGTCATTTCGCTGTCTTCTGTCTAGCGAGCCTGAGACCGAGACAGTTGAGCGCTGCTGCAATGGGGGCTTTCATTGATTCCTAACGTCCCCCTGTCGCTTCCCTGAGCAAGGCTTCATGCAAGTTAAGCTACTCAAAGGAAGGAACCCAATTAGGCAGCTTCAGTTTATGTTATATGTGAAGCAGATGCTTAATAAAATTAAGAATACAATTGAGGGTCTCTTCTCTACGACTTCAGTTGTAACTAATATATTCCTGTGTAGAATTAACTCCTCCGACTGTTCCTGTTCTAAGCAGAGTGGACCAGAGAAGGGAAGGGCCACGGGGGCTTGCCCAACCCCCGGCCCAGCTGACTCCGTGCATTTCTTTCCCCACAGGGCTTGCTTTCAGAAATCCTCCGGAAGGAAGAGGACCCCAAAACTGCCTCCCAGTCTTTGCTGGTAAACCTGCGGGCCATGCAGAACTTCCTGCAGTTACCTGAAGCTGAAAGGGACCGCATTTACCAGGATGAAAGGGAAAGGAGTTTGAATGCTGCCTCGGCTATGGGTCCTGCCCCCCTGATAAGCACACCTCCCAGCCGGCCTCCCCAGGTGAAGTCGCGTTTTCCGGCTTGCTCTCCGCCAGTCTGACGTCATCTTCTTTTAATGCTTGAGGGAGAACCTCCCAATCAAATGGATGGATGGATGGATGGATGGATGGATGGATGGATGGATGGATGGACGGACGAACAGATAGATAAGGGTTTGAAAGAAATGATCCCACACATCTCAGGTCGCTAATTTGGGTAGAAAAACAATACGCTGTTACTTAGAAGGAAGAAAATGACTTTGTGTTTCTTCATTGCATGGAGCAAGTAGTCTTTAAGTGGGACTATTTGTACTGCTGTGATTAAGTAAAGGAATATTTTAAACTCAATAGGAAAAAAAAAAAAAGGAAAGTCAATTTTGTTCCTACCAGTTTAGAACTGTCATTTGAATCGTAAATAAATAAAACAAAAAATAAGTAATTCCATTTGTATTTACGCTTTCCAATACGAACTGCAGCTGGTACCAATTACACATCATCTCGTTTGTAATCTTTCATAATTAAGTTTAATACAATCCTTGAAGGCAATTTTAAATAGGACGGATAAGGAATTCTGTCCATATCCCCAACAATGGGCACACACTCTATTTTTGCCATGTTTTGCACCTTAGGGAAGTAAGGAAAATCACCTTCCAGGTAACTTTGTGCTTGTGTATCTGGGTTCTTAATATTTTAGCCACCGTTTACAATTCAGTATCATAACTATTTGGAGAATCCAATAAACTCCTTTTCAGTGAAAACTAGTGGATTGAGGTTTTAGAGCAGGTTGAACTTACACACTTACCTTGTGGCTTACACACTTACCTTGTGGCGTGTACACTCCTACAAAGAAGGACAGCTGAGAGTGGATGAAAGTACCATTGTTCATACATCGCAGTTTCATAATCAAATGATTTTGCTGTTAATTTCTTTTTATCGGTAGAAAAAAAAAAAAAGGTACATTTCTAAGTGTGGAAATGCAGGAAAAGCTCATTCAGCGCCAAGATGAAACTGCTGTAGATGCTCCGGAGATCAGAAATAGCCTTAAAACATCCAGCGACTGGTTACAAATTGTAAGCTGCTTATTACAATGTTCTGAAACCTTTTTTTAAAAAAAAGAAATGTCACAATTCATCATAATTTTATTTAATGAAAATTGTTCAGGTCTTGATGTTTATAGTAGTGTCAGGAAATCCTCTATAATTCAGAATAAGAAAGTTATGTTTCTCTAGTAGAAAACAATAGTGTCAATAAACACACAGACTCACCTCCTACACACACAATTCTTGAGTTTGATGTGATTCTTGAGTTTGATAAAATTTCACTTAGGATAAGAAACTAGGAACGTGTGTGTGTGTGTGTGTGTGTGTGTGTGTGTGTGTGTATGCAAACTTCTTGCTATGAAGCACAGTCTAACTCATGGAGACCCAATCGAAAGGAGTAGAACTGTCCCAGAGGATTTCCAAGGCTACAGTCTCTATGGAAGGAGGGTGCTGCACCTTTCTCCTACAGAGTAGCTGGTGGGTTCCAACTCCCAACCTTTCAGTTGCCTGTTGAGCACTTAACAACCGTGCTACTTACATGCACATGGACACACACCTGCACATGGACACACATGAATGTATGTCACTGATTGCATCTTGTCTCATCAAATAAGTGTCATCTTAACTGGGCCATGATTCTCAGTGGTATGGCAGTTAATGTCATGATGTAATCATCCCTCATCACATGATCTGATGATCTGGTGTGATCAGCCAGTCAGTTGTGAGAGGATTTGGGTAAGATGTAAAATCCTTACTCAGGTCACAACCTTGTCCCAAGGTAAGGGGAGTTTCCCTAGAGAGTGGCCTGCATCCTCTTCTATCGCAAAAGGTGGGATACAAGGAGAAAGAGGTTAGCAGAGAGGTAGTAACTTCAGGACTAAGAAAGGAGAGCTGGAAGCTGATCTTTTCTTTTGAAACCAGGTTCCCTGCCCTGAGAACCTTTTACACTCGGGAATATTGATGTCAAGACACATGAAAATCTGCAAGGAATGCTAAGCCCTAAGAGTGAAGGGACCTTCTTCCCGAGCTGGTATTTCTTAGAACTGCCATATTGAATTGAGACTTCTAGCTTCCTAACCCGTGAGAGAATACATTTCTCTCTGTTGACATTTGCGGTATTTCTGATACTGAAGCAATAGAGAGCTAAGACAGATTTGGGTCCTGACATTGAGGTGCTGTGCCAACAGGTACTTAAAATGTGGAAGTGATTTTTGCATTTGGTAATGAGCCCAAATTAGGAATGTTTTCAGGTACTGACAGAGCCTAGATTTTGCCTTGAAGAGACAGTTGGTAGAATTCTGAATGCCAGAGACAATTCTGGTGAAGGCTCGGAAGGAATTCTTGCTCAGAGCTCTAACAAACACCGGGTGTCCACACAGTGGTGGCAGCAGAGCCAGGAGATTAGCATGACCCATGGAGTGAGAGAGCTGAGCCCCTGCAGATGGGAGGTTCATTGTGGAGGGAGAGAGAGGAGAGCCTTCTTCCTTTAGAACCAGCACGCTCTATTCAGAATCCTAGCTGTCCTAACTGTAAGGGAAAACATTGCTGTCTGTGAAAGCGTCCGCTGGTGATATTTCTGTTGTAGCAGGACCAGCTAACTAGGACAGAATTACGTGTGTCTGCGTGACTTTTGTAAGAGTGATTTGATTTAAAATACGGACACAGCAACTCAGCTTTGGGCTTTTTAAAAAATTACCACTTGGTTTGCAATGTGAGTAGCTTAGAGTTAACACACACACATCATCACTAAGTACATTTGCTCTTGTAGTCATCACTAAAGGGCCTCTGGGCGGAGAGGTATTTTGCTCATCACTTTATCTGCAATATTAACAAAAGAATGGCTTACTTAAGACCAGTATGAACTGCAGCATTGAGCTGCTTTTTCTTTTTTTTTTAAAGAAAATCCGTCAAATGCTTGATTGAGTTGTTCCTTGTTGTGGCTCTTGTCTTTGATTCCCCCTCCCCAGGCTTTTGTTGTATTTGTTTGTATTTGTATGCTTGTATTTGTTCTTCAGCTGTGACTCTGCTGCCTTTATTCATCAAGTTTTTGTTTAGGCTGAGTATTATGGATGCTGGTTATTAAGCGATCTATCTTTTCAGAGACTGGGAAGATAACTATTGGGAAGCATATACATACTTAGAGGTCATGCCTGTTGATAGATGTGTACAATTTATTTTGACCTTATTTCCTGATGTACTGATTGAGCCACGCTTAGCTCATCATCTCCAGCAGGGTTGAGAGCTAAACCCTTAAATGGGGGAGTAAGTCAAGGGTGAGCAGAGAAGGTAGATATTCCTAGTGAACTTGGCAAAAATAAATCTCCTCTGAGTGCAGTATTATAGGTCATCTAGACAAATTCCAGGGTGATTATCTGATGCATGTGTGTATGGCGGTATTTTACTGCTCCACCATCAATCTTTACAAGTGCCCCCGTTGCCGCACCAAGGATCTCTTTGCATTACTTATGAGAGCTCCCTGCCAGTTTGTTCATATTTTCCCCTTCAACAATGATCATGATGAATTAAATTTTAAGAAATTCTGAATGTATTGAAAGTATTATAGGTGCAAAGCAGGTACTGTAGATGGAAGAAAACGTATTCTAGAGCAGTTGAACCAGCGCCCTTTTGCAGCAGATGAAATCAAATGCTGTGAGGGGAAGCCTACTCACAGCACATAATAAGGTTTTAGGACAAATGACCAAAAAGAAGAACAAAACTGGAGGAAATCATGGGTATGGCAACAGGCTATGGAATTTTGACCTTCCTAATTTTATCAGTAAGAGGTTATATGATATTGCACGCTTCATTCCTTCAAAGAGAAGAGAACTTAAAACATATTTGTTTGAGATGAACCTCATTTCTCTGTCTACGGAACCCTGATTTTTCTTTGTAAAGACCTGCGTGCTGTAGGCAGAGGCCGATTGCTATCTCATAGAAGACCCCGTTCACCTTTCAATGGGAGAGATTGAGTTCTTGTCAGTGGCTTTCCTGTGGGATTTGGGCTACACACTAAGACGCTGTGGAATGTCCCCACGACACACCAGACCAAGGGTTTGAGTTGAAGGGTGCATTCATCTTTAAAGCAATTTCCCTGATTTTAGTCCAGCCTCCGGTCTGGCTGATAAGAATGCCTTACCTGGGCCAGAGGATGGATCCGAGACTAGTCCAGCCTCAGGAGTTAGCACAGTCTGGGGCAGTCCAAGGGAGAGAACCCTTGCTTATGAATACGCCCCTCTTACTCCTAAAGAGGTAACTTCGCCTATGCGTTCTCTTTTGGCTAGGCTCTGAGCCAGACCCGTTTGCTAAAAGCACATCTTCACAAGAAATAAGAGTACCTTGCATTTGATAATGATTCACAGTTTTCTAAGCACCTTCACATACATTAATTCATTGAGTTTTCCTACCAGCATTTTGGTATGAAGAAAAATGAGAAGTCTAAGGCTTAAAGTTTTCCAATCTCCTATTTAAGTCTTCTGCTCTTCTGTGTCAAGCCACCGATTCAGAATGCAGGCAAACTTATTTTAGAGTCAGGCCAGTGAAACTTAGGACCCTTTTCTATTTGTCCTAGAAGATAGCAAGTTTTATTGTTAAATTGAGAAAAACATATGTAAGAATATTCTCCTGATCTGAAACCATACTCACCACCAACAAATTGATTCCAACTTAAAGTGTCCGTATAGGACAAAATAGAACTGCTCTGTAGGATTTCGGAAACTAAATCCTTACAGTGGTTCTCAACCTGTGGGTTGCGACCCCTTTGGGGGCTGAACGATCCTTTCACAGGGGTCACCCAATTCATAACAGTAGCAAAATTACAGTGATGAAGTAGCACAACGAAAATAATTTTGTGGTTGAGGGGGGGTCACTACAACATGAGGTTGTATGAACTATATGAAAGGGTCGTGCAGCATGAGGAAGGTTGAGAACCACTGCCTTATAGAAACAGCCGCCAGTGGGTTTGAACCAGTCACTCTGCAGTTCACAGCCCAACTGTAAATTCACTGTGCCACTAGGGATCCTTATTCTCCTGATGTTGTTGTTTTTAGATACCACTGCATTGATTTCTACTCCTAGCGACCTTGTGAATGCAACACTGCCTGGCGGTGCGCGGTCTTCACAGTTGTTCCTGGTGAATTCCATCAGTGAAGCCATTGTGCTCTTCCCTCTTGTTGGCGGCAGTCTTCCCCCTTTCCTCTGACCCTTATTTTCCTTCACCAAGCATCATGGCCTTTTTCAGGGACTGTTCGCTCTGAGAGGAGACACTAATTGCTTAACCAGCCATCCCCGTTGGAAGGTTTCAGACAGTCTGGTGTCTTTGGGGCCCTGTAGAAAATGGCCTGCGCCACACTTTGCATGAAGATCCAGCCGTGAACCTGATCACCCTAACGTGTCTTGATTTTAAGTATTTCTTTTCTATACATGCTTAGCAAATTCTCCAGATGATTTCACAAGTGGGATTTTATTAATAACATTTACTGCATTTCGGATTACTTTCTTTTACGTAGACTAGATTGGTTTTAAATTGATTTTTGCCTTAGGTGTGTGCACTTATGCTGGATTTGTGTTTTCCAGTATTGTGCGTCTTTTGTAGTTAGATTTTCTAATGCTTTAGAAATCTATAATTAACAAGTTGTAACTTTTAAATAGATTACGTAATTTTTTTTTTCATTTTTATCTCTAACTTTTGGGGGTTTTTTCCTAAAGGAAGGTGTGATATTTTGAAACAATGCTTTAGAAAATGTATTAAGCTCATGCAAGAAATACATGATTAATCTTGTATCTCCTTAAACCAAATTCTTCTATAATATGGCGAGACATATGTTCATCTTGATTTCAGATTCAGATATAGGTAGGGACTTATTTAAGCAAAATTCTGTTTGCTATGGATACCCTAAATAGCATTAAATTTTTTTTCTTACTTAATGTGCCTGTACAGTGCTTCCTATTGCTACTTTTTAAAAGCTAGAGCATTCTTTAAGGTCCAGATAGAAAAGAATTAATTTTGTTCCACACGTGGAAAAAGGTATGAGAGAGAGGACCCGAGTACTTCCAACAGTATCAGTATGTAATTATTGAAGAATGGGAACTGTTTTCATCACTAATAAGAACGCACATTTGTTATGTAGCATTACTACGTAAAAATTTACAGTTTGAATATTTTGACAAATAACGATAAAGCCATCAGCTACTAAAAACAGGACAAGGAAGTTATAGCAAACCCAAACCGGAAAACAGGTGTAGCGTATTTTAAAGAATAAGAACTTTTCCATTTTAACATGTCCCAAATAGCCTCATGACCTCATGCGGGATATAGCGCCGTGACTTCAGAGGTAAACACTGATGTCAGACAGATGCTAAGTGCAGACTTCAACTTTGTCCTTTGGACAAACTTAGCCCGAGATTTTCTCAAGTTTAAAATGGAGAATTGATAGCCCCTACTTAGAGCTATTGTGGATATTAAAAAGAAAAGTATATTAGCATAGTGCCCAGGAACCCCTCCCCTCCCTAAAAAAAGACAAAAAAACTAATAGATGTCAGGCTTTATGATGATGGTAATAAGAATTATTATGAAGACTCTATAAACTTGTTTTTTGTTCTTTTCGGCAATTCTTCCAACATCAAGGGACAGTGCATGCTTTGACCAGTCAGGATCACAGCAGAATCCCATTTTATATCACCTGAAAGCTCATTTTTTTCTAGAATATGCTTGTATGCATTCAGTAGTTCATGAAAAAAAAATAGAATTTTCATGGGGAAAAAATGTATGCCCGACTGCTCAATTTTATTTAGTGGGATGGGGAAGAAAAAAAAAACAGGCCCCAGAAACTCTGATTCTGAACTACCTCCTGGCGCCGCTGTAACGATGGAGTAGAAGACCGTACCTTGATAAAAGCCATTCCCGAAGCAACTGCATTTGTTTTACCTCCTGTGCTATTTGCGGAGAAGAGCTGAAGAGTAGTTAGTTTGTTTTGCCTGGAATGAACTACTTTATGAATTTTAATGTGCGATATAATATTAAAAGCTAAACCAGGATTAAAGAAGGTGTTTTGTTTTTTTTTTGGTTCTAAGCTAAAATAGTACTTAGAATGAGGTATAAAAGATTTTTGTTTCTATTTTTACCTAGGGAAAATTTCAGCTTTCATGGTTTTGAAAAACTGTCTAAGTCAGTTCCCCGTAAGCATTAGTTTGTGTTTTGGTAAAAATGTGATTCCAGACTTCATATAGCTTTATTTTTGATAGGATGCCGCCGACCTGGCCCAATGAGATGGGTAAAGAGTTTCTCTAAATATGTTTTCACTGAGAACTGCAGATCGTTTCTGACTTTATATTTTGTAAAAGTTCTTTTCATATTAAGAAAATGTTTTATGTATGCTTAGTTTTTGTTTTTTGTTTTTACTCTATTTTTATTGGGTTGGCTACTAGGAAAAGATCATTTCTTTTTTTTTTATGACTTAAAAGTCCTGATTTTTAGTTAAAGCTATAAATGCTTTATATAAAAAAAGAGAACAAGTAAACCAATTTTATGTTTTTAAGAAAAATATATCATAGGGTTGAAACAAATGATTACAGCCCACCTTGAAGGTAAATCTTAAGCATATATATATATATATATATATATATATATATTTTTAACAAAAGAATGGGACTTAATGTCAGAACATATCAAAACACAGTTTTCAAAGCCTAGGTCTCTTAGGTATTGCTAAGCAGACTGCTGCTAGCGAACTGTGTCTTCCAATGCAGTGGACTTCATGCCCCGTTTCCATAACATTCCATTTTCAAAGCGATTGCAATGGTTTTTCTTTTCTCTTTCATTTAAACAATAAGAAAAATAGGTATTAAAAGGGACCCCAGGGGGTGATCAAATCTATCCCTCTGCCTCAAAGCAAGACCACCCCAGAGCAAAGTTGCGGATCTCACCAAAGCAACTTTGTAGGCAATTTATGGTAATGCGTTAACTCTTCTGGCTCTTAAAGTGGTGTTTAGCAGGTTATTGTTTCAAAGCCCTGTGTGGGTTCCTAGTGGCCTCCAGTCCTTAATGCGCTCCTACTTCTGCAAGGGCCCTGCTAATCACTAACCAGAGGCCCAGAGCTAGAAAGGGACTCTCCTGGCCTAGTCTCTTGCTATTCCCATCCCCACTTTATAGCTTACAGGAGGCAGATGAGGCCCAGAAAGTTCGTCAGTTGTCTGGCGTCCTCTGCGTGTGGTGTGGCCGTTTCACGGTGTTGTCCTTCAGTGTTTGGAAGGCTCAAGCCACGTTGCCGGGATAGCTGCTTTCTTGAGGAAGAAGAGGCCAATTGAGTACACCGACTAGATTTAGAAGGTTTCAGAAGGTACCATTTTTGAAGGGGTCTCATTTACCCCCTGACTGCATTTATTGATATAATTTCCTTTACTAAAATGACAAGCAGATATTAGCAGGAAAATGCAAAAAAATTAAGGGGGTGGGGAATAAAATCAAATCGCAACCTCAAAAGTTGAGGTGCAGGGAGGTGGATCACCACATATCAGTAGCAGTTTTCCATTTTTTCAATAAATGAGCAATTCCATGGTTCCCATGGAATGCTTCCAACCTTGTTCCTAAAACTACATAATTAGAAAGTAAATGAAGAGTTTTAAAGATTAATAATGGTATCAGTAAAATTTGAGGTTGAGATTTGATTTTTTTTCGCTCACGATATTTATTGCATTTTCTGCTGACAGCTGCTTGTCACTTTTACTAAATGATGGGTACTGATTTTTTTTCACTCAACCTGTATATATTTGGAATATATTTGTAAAGTCGCTGGTGATGTATTTGGTGTAACTTACAGTAACATTCTTTCAAATATTGTGAAACATGTTCTTATTGTCTGGTTCCACAAGTCCAAAGGAGCTGGTTACGCACAGGGATGCCAGGGAGAGATGAAATAATTATGCAGAACAGCTTGGACATGCACATGTAAAATGCAACCAGCCTTTTTGATAATTAAGCAAGGCACTCTACCTGTTTCATGGATGGATAGAAGATTTAAATATGCAGCTCTGCAAATGGCTTTGTTATGGAAGATTTTAAAAATGAAATGTAAGAGGAAAAGGCATAAAAAAGAGTATAAAATTAAAAAGGCCATAGTATGTCATAGCTATTAGTGTTGCAATTGTCTGTATTAGGCACAGGACACCGACAATGATTCAGCACTGTACATTACATTTTTAATTGTGAATGTCTTCGGTTAGGATTGCAATGGAAGGCAATTGGGAAGCAATTCGTTTAGGGTTGTCAAGTCTTTGAAACTGTTCTGTTTTCCAGAAAACTTACTTTATGGCATTATAATTCCTGGTTGTCAGCTGGCAGTGGCTGTCGTAGTAGAGATGCAATCACCCGTGACAATGTGACTTCCTTAACTTAAGCAATCTGATCTGGAGGTAATAACTAATGCTGAACGACTGCACTGTTGATCACCTTGATCGTAAAAAGGAGCAACAATGTCCAGTTCGGATGCTGAGCCTGGAAAGCATCAAAACAATTTGGTGAATGAAAGCTGACAGTCGTGTTCAAAATGTTTTGTAGGTGAAAACAGCTACTATTGCCACGGAGCGGAATGGGAAACCAGAGAACAATACCATGAACATTAATGCTTCCATTTATGACGAGATTCAGCAGGAAATGAAGCGAGCGAAAGTGTCCCAAGCACTGTTTGCTAAGGTGGCGGCAACCAAAAGCCAGGTAAGAGCCTCTGTTAGACACTGAGCGTGTTGACCTGTGATGCTGTGGAATGTTGGTGAAGAAGAGGTGTCTGCTTTCAGTGTGGACGTGCATCACCGAGGGGTTCTTGGCCGAGTTCTAAGGTGAAGCACAAGGCTCAGATTCATATTAAAGACATGCGGCTTCTTTTCCCCCAACAGCCTTCCCCTGATGAATCCTGATGTCTCAATGATTTCTCAGACATTCCCTGGCTCAGCGAACAGCAGTGTGCACAAGAATACAATCATGCATGGGAATCTTCTTTCTGTGGCTTATTTTAGTTAAAAAATAACTTGAATAACTGTCCTTTCATTATAACTTAATCTGGCCTTGATTTCCACCCTGGAGTGCTACACATGTTACACGGATTCTTTTGTTCTGACTTAGGCCTGTACAACTATTTCATACACTTTAAAACAAACTGGCGCGTGCAAGTGCACAACACGTCAACACACACATCTGTGCCTATTAATGATTTTAGCTGTTCTATACACATATCCAGAGCACACAAATTGAATTAAAATTGGAAAATTATCCAATGGATAAATTATAAATGAATAGAATTAAATTGGAAAGGTTACAGATTGATACAAAACAAGATAAAATCCCAGCACAGATTTGATCATGTGACTGTACATGGATAGCGCACGTTCATCCAAAGTAGAATCATTGTATGTGAACAAACTCAAAACTATCTATAATGTTGTCCTTGAAGCCATGGATATTTTTAGAAGCCCAGAAGAATCCTGAGCAAATACTGAACAGTAGCATTTGATAACACTCCCAAAGTGAAACTTAGAGGCAAGTTAGGCCCTTGAGGTGAGATTTTTAACACCCAGGCCTTTTAAACACATACATTACCATTAATAAACATCCCTATATAAAACAGCCAGGCTATTAACAATTGACAACACCCTCAGAGTCTTTATTTTTTGATGTTACAATGTACCTTTTCCGTTTCTCTGAAAGTGTTACTCTATCAACATCTGTAATGGGACTTGCTGGAAGTTTTGCTTTAGGAAAAGGTGGTAGTCTTTAAGTTACAGGCTGGATGAAATACTTAAGGGATATCTTGGAACTGTTACATAAAAATGATAAAACTCAAGCTGTGGACTGTAAAAATTACAGCTTTATAGGCCACATGCCTATCTACCCTTCAATCACTGTCAAAGTGATAATTTCTGCAATAATATGTTTCTTTTATTGTGAGATTCTAAACATCAAGTGCTGTTTAAACATTAAACTGAATTGTTTATGTTAGTGCTGTACTCAGCGTGTCATACATCAGGCCACTGTAATCTCTCATGGAATGTAAAATTCTGTCATGAATCATGGCTTGTATATCGGAAATTACTGTAATTTTGATTGGAAATTACAGGGCTCTTGAAATGTTTCTAATTATGATAGAATGTTAGAGCCGCTTCAAACCTGTGTGCTCCTTCAAATGTCTTCATTTACATGCCAAGACTATGCATTAAGGAGAAATGTCCCGTTCTCACTTTGCCCCTCACCCACCCACCCTGCACAGTCTTGTTTGGGCTATTTAGTCTAATTATGATGAGGATCTCAGATTTAAATGTATATTATCTCGCCTTTCTTACTGATCCCAAGTCTTTTTCTCTGACCTGCACAATTAAATTATCAAGACTAACAGACTGGCATTCTTGACAGCAGCCAAACGCTTCCCCCAAATCTCCGAAATAGAGTAGGAGAGAAGCTAGACCTGCGGTAGCACTGTAAGGACCAGCAGGAGAACAGAACCAACCAGACCAGACGCTGCAGCTTTGAACTCAGTCACTTAGTGGCCAGTCCTCTTCCGTTTGACCCAGGCTCGCTGCTCCTCTGGGTCGGTCCCCGGCTTCCTCTCCGTCCATTGCGTAGCTCCCTGTGTGTAGCAGGCCCCTTACTCCTGTGTTCTGTCTCCCATTTTAAAAAGTGCCTTGCCAACCTCTCCCCCAGGGACAGGGCTACTTTGCAGAGTGTATCATGCGAGTAATATTTGAGGAACTTTTTTTCCTTTAAGATCCTTTTAGAGGGGTGCTTACAGTTTTTACAACAATCCATACATCAATTGATCAGCTATGTCAAGCATATTGTACGTATGTTGCCAGCATTATTTACTAAAACATTTACTTTCTATCTGAGCCCTTGGTATCAGCTCTTCTTTTTCCCTCCCTACCCTTCTCCCACCCTCGTGACCCCTTGGTAAAGGATAAATTATTATTATTTTCATATCTTACACCAACCGCTGTTTCCCTTCCCCCACGGTTTCTGTAGTTCATCCCCTTTGTGGGTGGGGGGTGTGGTTATGTGTGGATCATTGGGATCGATCCCCCCCTCTTCTTCCCCTCCTCCCCCACCTTCTCCCTACCTTCCTGGGTTCTCTACTCCCATTTCTGTTCTTGAGGGGTGTGTCTGACCTGGATTCCCCGTGTCGTGAGCTCTTTGGGGGAATTTTTTGAAGACCCTTTCTCTTGGCCGCGCCTCACATGGCTCCCTTCGCGTCTCTACTTCAGCCATGTCAGTTGGCAACTTCTGTGAGTCCCCCGTTGATGGTGTGCTGTGCTGCGTCTCCAGAACTGTGGGCCTGGCTAACCCCACTGCTGGTTGGGAGAGAGCCCAACGGGCCAGCAACAACTGGCTGGGGTCAAGTAACGTGCTCATGTTCAGAGGGCTTTCCTCTGGCGGCCTATCTCTGTCGCTCTCTTTGAATTGTTTGTTCCGTGATCTCCCCTATGTACTAATACAGGTGTAAAGACAAACAACGCCAGAAGTAGGACAGTCCCAAATGGTTTCTATCAGTAAGAGAAGATTGGACTTAGCAAGGAATGGCAGTGAATTACTTCAGTGCAAAGAAAGGTCGTTGCTTACTTGAATTTTGTTCTCTGAATGATTTTTGTGTGTGTGAAGGAAACAAACAAAAATGATAAAACATAAGCACCCTAAACCATCAAAGCAGACTTACCTGGTCCATGGTTACAATTTTTAATGTTCCAAATAGTTACTTTTGCCTCAGTGGTGCGTGCCCAGGCTTGTTAAAGGAGGCAGAGGGTTCTCAGATGAAGTGCGCACGCAGAGGGATGCACGGCCTTGCTTCTGTCTGGGCCCATCTGTCTGTTTCCGTGACCCACCTTTCTCTCTGGGTTGGCTGGAAATGGACATCCGTCACCTTCTTGTGCTACACCCTGTCTTATATGATATACTGTCCACGTTCTGTTCTCAGAGGAACCCCGTGAGCCAGCATTCCCCATTTTGCACGGGAGTCCTACAACTGATAAATAGCTAACCCCGGCTTCTCCACCTCTCTCTCCGACTATTTTAAGGTCTCCTCAGGGTACCTGAGTAATGGGTTTTGGACTGAAGTTACCCCCTGCTCCAGAAAGAGGAATTAGGGAGATTGAGCTGCTCGATCGTGCAGGCGTATCTTCTTTGGCACGTTCCTCGATCACAGGCGCCTACCATTGTAGGATCTTCAGAATCCGGCTTCTTTCTGGATGGCTGGGGGGTGGGAGGGCGGCGGGCCTCGCAGTGGAGGAGGCTAAGGGAGGCGATGGGATAGACTGGGTCATGCATCCCATCATGGGGGGGTGGGGGGGCAGTTTGTTTAACCTTTTGGAGGCAGTGATGGTTTTCACTGGGAGGAGGTCACAGTTGCTCATGTATGCAAAGGGCTTCAGTCGGTTTTCCCCGCACTGTACACAGATGGGAGCCCTGGTGCCAACGCAGGGCGCTCATTGGGCTGCTGTCAGCAAGGCGGGTGAGCTACTGGAGCCTGCCAGCCACTCTGCAGAGAAACCTGAGGTTGCCTGTTCCCATAAAGAGTGACCATCTTGGAAACCCAAAGGAGCAGTCTGCTTCACCCTACAGGGTCACTGACTCAGCAGCCACCCAGTGGCAGTGGATCTGTCTGTTTTGTTTGTTTTAATACACAGATGGTCAAGGTATTATAATGTGCTACCTATAAGACTGCCCACACCCCAAAAGGCTATTCCCACTCTGTATGATAGGGTGACACTGCCCCGGTGAAGTTCTAAGACGGTAACTCTTTAAAGAAGTAGAGACCCCCATCTTTCTCCTGTAGAGCGGCTCAGGGTTTCAAATTGCTGGCCTGGCAGGATCACAGCTCAACAGGTAACCTTGACACCCCCAGGACTCCTTACAAGTCTTTGCCCCTTACAATGATAAAGAGTTACTAGTGCCTCTCAAATAGCTTTCATTGCAGAAGGTTCAGTGTTGGGTAGGTGCCCTGCATGGAAGACCGCGTACTTGTTTTAAAGTTACTCCAGTCCCGGACTTCAGTGGACCCAGACACGTCACAGCTGCACTCTGCAGGGACTGACTCGCCAAGTCCGTCCGGTATCAGGAACCAAGTCATGGAGATGCCACCATTTCACATGCATTCTATTCCCCCTCCTCTATGAGAAACAGACAGGAGATTGTTTTTAGCTCTAATGGAAACGTCTGGATGAAATATGCCAGCAAACCCAGGAGACAGGCTACTTTTTTTGTGCTTGGGTAGGAAAGCAGGCAAATGCAAACTTTAAAAACGATGATGTGCTTTCAACATAATGTGAATAGCTGCAAACGAACACACTTTATATTCTGCGTATTCAAATAAGCAGCAGTTTTTCGAAGTGCATCACATTGGAATTTTATCAGACATTTAGTCTGATACCATTCAAATAATTATGAGAGCAGAATTTGCTAATTTTACTGTTTGGAAAAAAAATAGTCGATTTGGGTAATAACCATTACGGTATCAAGGTTCAGTTACTGTTCATTGGTTATAGTGTTTTCATATGGGAGATGGAAATGGAATTTTTTCCTTAATGGTGGCAGATGTTGGAATCTAATTTCATTCCACAGCAAACCCCTTGAGAGCTCTGAGACTTCAAGGTGTATGTCCAGCAAGGGGACATTAGCAGCGCCGAAGGGCTCGCCTTGTACATCGAGTGGTTGCATTGATTTTTATGTTTGCAGAA